ACACCTTCAATCGTTCGTGACCTGCACAAGGGGAAGAGACCAGCTGACCCGACCATCAAGGACAATGGGAGAAAATCGGGTGACCTTATCAACAAAGACCAGGTCGACCCCCTCGCTGTCCTGGAGGTATCCACATTGGCACTCCACCACCCGGAGCTCATCGATGAGGGGAAAGTATCACTTACTGTGACAGGGCCCGTGGCCAGGCTGATCGCCACATCCCAGCTCAGCGTCCAGGGTTCAGCTCCTTAGGGTTCAGCCCGAGGATTCCATAATGACCGCGTGGCTTGCTCAAGGTGCATCATTCCGACCAGGAAGCCTTATGCCATAAGAAGAAGAATCCAGGTGACTCGAGGTACCACGTGGAGCAGAAAACCCGAAGCGAGAAGGTCAACGATCATCGCGGCCAGTCCGGGGCCAAGTCCAGCATCAGGTCCGAGATGGACCAGCTATGGGAGATGATGCAGAACGAGATCAAAGATCTCAAAAACAATTACAAGGCTCAAGGCTAAGTTGATTTCTCGGAACGGAAGGAGTCCCCGTTCACCCATGACAGCCTAGACGAGCCGATCCCCCACAAGTTCAACGCTCCTAGGATGAATCCGTACGATGGGTCGGGAGTCCCTATCTCGTACGTGGAGATATTCGAAGGGAAGATGAAGTTCCTTGCTGCTAGTGATGCCATCACATTTCAAGCCTTCCAGATTGCTCTAGAGGGCTCAGCTCGATTGTGGTACCGGCAGTTGAAGCCGAAATCCATTAGCAGCTATCAGTAGCTGTGCAAGATGTTTATCAACCAATTCTCGGTATGGCAGTTGATGAAGCTTCCAGCGTCCCATCTCAGGATGATTAAACAGCGAGACCGCGAGTCCTTGACTGATTATATCACGAGGTTTATGGACGAGCACATTATGGTGGTAAACTGCATCGATGCGATGGTAATAATATACTTCACCACCGGGTTGAATGATAGGAACCTGGTGATGAAGCTTGGCAGTAAACCGACCACCTCTCTGAATAAGCTACTCATTCGCACGAGGAGGTACATTGACAGCCTCGAGCTTTGGCAGGCCAACGGTGGCAAGCGCTACAGCAGCCGAGATGACAAGTCCTAGAAGAAACGGGACGACTACCGCACTTCCAATCACCGACCCGATGATAAGACTTTCGAGAAACGTGGTGATGCTCGAACCGAATAAAAAAACAGGCCTCGGTTCAACAAGTACATGCCGACCAACACACCTATAGCTGAAATTCTTGCCGCTGTGGAGGAAGGTGGGT